ATATATAAATTCACACAGTTATAGGCAAAATTAACATTTAGAAAGAAAGTTTACTGCTAACGCGGCATTTTTAATATAAGAGCAAAATAGGATTACGTAAGAGTATTATCGCATCAGCAAGCACCGTCTGTATTGTTACTATACCCTCCTATTCGAATTGCATTTCTATGGAAGCTATAGTAGATACGTTGTGCGGCTATAAGGAAGCTAACGGCATGACAGAGCCGTCACGGCAAAGTTAGCCACAGAGCAAAAGGGCGCTGTCGAAACCAGAGACCCCGTGCCGTGTTTTCTTCCTTTAAAGCACCGTTATTCGCATTTCGTCACGGACGTCCTTGTCTTGGCCCAGATTCTGTGTTGGCGCAGTTTTCTTCGCCCCATCATTCGTACACCTCCTGCCCTGTGCACATCAAACATGCGCGTTTGCGAGCCATACAGCCAGCCGGTGGAGTCGCCTACCAGCTCGCTCGCCCGCCCAAACGTCCGCCCGTCTGCGCAAGGTAATTTCCACAACGTCATGCAGTGGAGCGTATTCTTGCACAGGCTATCATTACCCAGGAGCAGTAAGCGGCGAAGGGGAATGGGGCGCGCCTGAGGGTGAAAACGTGGGCTTCACGTCTGCCCCTCTAATTCAACACTTCTCCTTGTGCTCGTTTCATCTCGATGTATGCGTGTTTGCGAGTTGTCCATGGAATTGCTAAGCAACTTAGACCATGTGACAGTGAAGAAAACTGAGGGTAAAGAAAGCGAGAGTAAAGCGGCGACAAACAGATAGAAGCAGCACTAGGAGAGGAACCAACCCCCCAGAGTTCGTGGCACCCAGCCTAGATTTCAGCCTGCTGCTGACATCTTTTTCCGCAGCCCGTATTGAGGCTACTGCCTTCTCGCGTCGTTCTAAACATTTGCCCGTACTGAGTCCGCGGCAAGGAAATCATATATATATATATATATATATACGTTTTGTATATCTCTTTCGTGCGTTGCCACTTTCGACGTGCTGCTCGTGTGGCTAACATGGCAACATGTACATGAGTTTGGACGACGTAAAGGTCTTATGTCTCATGGCAAGCAGTACTTGTATCTATGTCTATGTTACGCAATGCTACCGCATTTCCTGGCTGCCTGCTCCATTCAGCAGGGATCAGAAATGGCGGAAGGTGTATAGTGTTCCGATGCGGTCTAGTGAACCGAAAATTCCGCATTACTACTGTCATGTGAATGTAAAATTGGATCTACTTAATAAGAAGTCTTTAAAGGACAGAACGATGAAGAATAGACATGTTGAATTATTGCTCGTTCGCCCGTGACGAGTCCTGTCTGAGGAATTAGGTTTACTGGATAAGAGTAAAAATGTTATAGCTCGGCCACGACTTGTTGAATGCTTTAGGTTAAGTCAACAGTAGGTCAACCCATAGATGTATCAAAATCAGCCCAGTTTAGCAGTAATAAGATTGCTTTAGTTAATGCTCGGCAGTTTGCGATATATCGACAGCCGACGATATGGTAAGTCAGAATGTAACAAGAAGGATTTAGATGAACCTTTTTGTTTTTCTTTGAAACCTCTATTGCGTAAATATAACCATATAATTCTACGCATTAGGGTGTGAGTACAACGATGTCCAGTATGCGTTTTGTTAATACCACGTCAATATCAGAGAACTGTGTCTATGTTTACTCTCACGTCCTTTCTATATAAAGGTGTTCCTTTTGTTTAGAGCTCTAAATAGGATTACTCAATTTCGTTCAATTTATAGCCGCTCTACAAGGAAGAACTAAGAGTCGAGCTTCCCTGACGCGCGCATATGATCCTAGCAATGTATATGCTGCATTTCAGGTCTTTCGTATTGGCAGCTCGTATTGGCTAGAGACAAACAGAAAGGTTAGGGATATTGTCCTTTATAGGAACTTCGCAGTTTGCCAGAAGGAACGTGAAAAGTTCATCTGAACATATTGCAAGGACTAATCATATACCCGACGGTTTCATTTTTTGACTAGGCTTTTAAAAAATCAAGAAAAAATAAACGGAGTAATGTTTGTTTTATAATTGTTCTATATGAGTATAGTTTTTTACACCTATAAGAAAAATGTTTGAATAAAACGACATGTTTTTTAAAAAATATTTTCGATTTAGTTAGAGTATAATAATAATTGCTTATCGGATTAAGGCCGTTGAGCGCAGTTTGTCGGGTACAGCGAGCGATCCTATTTTAGAAATAGTATCTAACGTGAAGATGAAATCAGTCTATATTGTTATCACTAAAAGCGAAGCAACAGTGGGTTTGGTATCATCATAAGACTAGAATAGGTAATATGCAATTGACATGGATAGAGGAAGTTTGTTTTTGACTATACGTGATTTCCTTAGGGTTTTGTCCTTGCAGAGAAGGCTAATACATTATGATCTGGGTCCTAGGGCAAACTTACGCAACGGAGAATCTGAAAATATTATAGCGTATCTGAGTAGCTTAATATGAAAAATGTTCACAATAAGTCTTTATCAAGCCAGGTATTAAGGTGGATAAACTTGTTGCTGTTGTTTCTACTGCAGGGAGAAGATAACTATGCGCACGAAGCCAGCAACTGATACAGGTTTCTCCAGTTCGTTTTCAAGTAAAATCCGAGATATCGGATGCACAGAAAAATCCTGAAATGAATGAAAATGACAATTCACTACATCGCTTCCTTATCGCAACAGTCTTCAGCCGGTCCAACTTAAAAGTATATAACTTATTGAAGCAGGCATACGGGTGAAACTCAATGTTGGGATACCTTTAAAGGCCAAATCTTTGACATTAACAGCTGCTAAGGTACACAATCGTCATCAGGCACTGGCCTTGTTATTATTGTGCACTTGACTGATTATACTATTGTACATAATGTCAATGAGTGTTTTCTGCTATTAATATTGGAGTATTTTTTCAGCCTAATGACCAGGTCTCATTATATTAAAACTATCATTTTCTTCAGGCGATTATTTTTAAAAATGGTTGGTCTTTTATAATACCGATGTAAGAATAGAATTTCTTGAACAGTGAGATATTTACCAGATTTCTGCAGCGTTATATGTTGTGTAAAGGAGTTGTAAAGGACGATAACTAAGTTGCAGGTTTCGAGTTGACAGAAAACGAGGGCAAGAGGGCAAGTTATAGACTATCTTAGTGGCTCTAAGGATCCACAGTAGTAGGTCTCTCTGGCTCGGGTAAGCCATCTTAGACATCAATTCTGAATAAGACGAAGGTACAGAATCAAACATTGAATCAGCATTTTAATGACCGCTGGGTTACAGCGTAAGTTATTCTACTCTACTGGAAGATTCACAAAACTAAAAGTTTGAATAAATTCAATTATGTTCGTTACCACGTCGCAACTTTGTTCCTGCGTTTAGTTTCTCAAGGATGCGAGTTCTACTTTCGACCTCGCGGTTAGGTATTCCATCAGGGGGCTGGCTTCCTCCAATAAACAATGTGTGCTTAGGCTCGACAACATATCCCTAACATTCACATGCAAAGACATTACCCACTAAGCCATCACAGGGACGGATGCACTTATATAGCGTAACTATTCTGAGGTATTCTTGCAGTCAACTACGGATATAACAAAAAAATAAAATCTTGATTGAACGATTCTTCCGGACAAATAATGCAAAAAGCAATGATCACTGCGTACTAACCATGAACTTGTATGATGAAAACGTATTTTGTCAAGTAACTCGATTAGTAAAACTTCAGATATTTCAAGGAAAAGACAAGTGAGCTTCTTACGCAACGTAATTTCCACAACCCTTTGTCTCTGCATTTTATACAAAACAATAAACCTATTTTAATTGCTCTATTAATTCATCGAAAATACCAATAGCAGTTGGCTTGGCCGTGTATCAAGGCGCCGAACGGAAGTTTTCCAGACTTCGGGCATCGGCGTCTGTCGGCCAATTCATAACTTTGACTTTCAGAGTATGGGAGCCACGTGGTACCATTAACTAATAAATCCATTTAATCGCAGCAGTCCCAGATTCCTCAGAAAATAGAGCCTTTTAAGGCTGAGTATTTCTTTGATTCGAGCTATAAGCTATGTAATTGATATAAGTCAGAAAAAACAAAATTTGGCCTGTCAGTTGATTCAAATCCATATAAAGTGTACTACAATGCAATACGTTTCAATTTGTCTGGTGAAGAGCTGGGATTTGTCTCATTCGTTTCAAATTCCAGTCATATCTGGTGCTCTCAATTAACTGTATGATCGGAGTAATAGTGCAGTGACATTTGAAGAAACACAAGTTTTTTTTTTTTCAGTTATTGCCGGGACAAAAATATCGGGACATGTAGTTTGGAAACGGCGAGCTTACATTTGAAGCTAAGGATATATTGGTTGACAGTAATTTGCATGCAAAAATCTATACAGATAACAGTTATTAAAATATGCTTATTATCTTAATATTACAAGAATCATGACACTAATTTTGTCACAGCTGGGAGGTTTCTTCTGCTATCTTTGACCTATTACATGCTGGAAGTGCTTTCCTTCTATTGTTAAATACACCTGTTATTGCAATAAGTTTTTATCAAACACTACTTCGAAAATAAAACATGCACTAGTTTAGCTAATTATCGCACCCATAAATCTTCGATGCGTCAGTAAACCGTTATTCTTTTTTTCCTTTCCTATACTTTTTCATCGTGTTCAAAAGTACTTTATCCATTTGTCCATTATGTCCTGTGCAACAGTTATAGGTAAACAAGCAATTTTGACCTTCACACACGAACTATCGCGTACGGCCTGCCAGCATCTTTTTTAAGCCTCCTAAGGTCCTGTTCACATTCAATCCTTTTTGCAGACACAAGTTAACCTATAGTTACCATTAAGTTAAAAAAAAATTCGCAAAAAGCCTGCATGTAAAGTTTACATTTGTTTCAAAGCAATTTCGAAATATATGCTCTACGGTATTATTAAAGAACAGTGTTTGAATGCGCGTTGTAGCGTCATAAAGGAATCTATTTGCTAGAGTTATTCACGCTCCAGTGTTGTGTTTGTTTTACTAGGCCTATCGAGTTGTACCATATAATGTTTACAGAGCTCCTGTGGATAAAATCGATTTGCTAGTTCCTTAGAGAACAGCATTAACGAGGACGCATTTGCGTTATCGTGAAGTTCCGGAACTACTGTGCCCGTGCCGTCCCATAGACGTAATTAGCAAGATTCGCATGAAAAACGGATTGTCGGGTCTTGCTACAGCATTGTTTGGGTAGAAGCTATGGTCGGCATCACAGCTGTGGGAGTAGCCAGATCTGCGCAAGTTTACGGCAGAGCCACACGTAAAACTCGAAACTTGGCTTAAACTTCCAGTGCCATTGCGTGAAGAAGCAAGTTGAGAACTATGTATCATCACCAAAACGCGTACTATTTGAGATTTGCGTATGTGCATAGGTAAGCACGTATTGCTTTCCCTACCGTGCATGCACCGAACCTGAGAAAAGTTCAATCATATTATTATAAGTAATAATGGAAAGGTTGATGCCTAAGGCCGGAGGCAGGTGTTTCCAGCTAATTATATTCATCGTTCACCAGTGAAAACTAACTATCAACAATGGTAATGGAGAAACAGTGACAGAATGCAGTAACGCAATGGAATTCGTTACGTCGTAAACTAACTTCTACGCAACGCACTGCTACGAGTCAGCGTAGACTGGGGCTTCCGGGTAAATCTAGACTAATAATTATATACGAATGACTTATTATATATATATATGACGAATTACATAGAATGAATACGAACTGACAAGATGGACCATAACTGCTGCTAATGTAATTATCATTATTCTAAATAAACAGTTCAGCGAGTTTTAATTTCAACGAAAAACTTAACAAACAGAGACCAAATGAGAAGTTCTATAGCGGTTCAGCTGTCGCTGATGCTTCGCTCAGCGTATAGGGTAGCTGGCCAGATGAATGTAGCTAAACGAGAAGTAAATAGGAGTACAGAATTACTCTGCGACGAATAGCTTCAAAGATAGATCACAGCCTTTTGGCAGGGAAAAAATTTAGCTGGAGCGCAAAAGAAATTCATTCATTCATTCAGAGGGCGATTAGCAGCGTAATAACCAAAGAAGCAGCGTAAAGCACCTCCGGGCGGGTCTACTAATTTTAGTGACCATCCCAACGATCTTGGATTACGTATTAAATGTGCGTTATCATCTTCGAGTAGAAATAAGATCGCCTTTGTTCAAGTAATAAGCCTTATCTGTTTTGAAACACATTTTAATGTTATATCTGCGTCTTGATCTAGACTGCATCTTGATCGTGACGTTAAGGGCGTGTGGTCACCAATAATTGAACAAACTTCAATTTGTTGAAGTTCCGTAGAAGTAAGTTATAAACCTAAAAGAAGATAAACCTTTCTATTTTAGAACAATAATCAGCTGATATTTAACGTATCTAAATATATGCGTGTACGTATCCTTTCAAAATGTCAATGAAATTTTGCTTCGTTTAACAGCACCGCAACCTTACCTTTATTATTATTATTATTTATGACCAGTTTTTGCCTCGTGTGTTCATCTGATCGTTTCCTATACAACCGCCATGACGTCCAGATCAACGATTTCGATCACAGCCGATCGGCTGCCACTACCGGCGGAGTTGATCTTCAATTCATGTGTATCGTCCGAAATATGAGGCTCAGCGTTGTTCATTCTCGGTGACCTTTTTAGCGGGCCATCGCCGGATCAGCAAGCAAACCATCCGAGTGCGAGAAGATAAATCAGAAGCATCAGTTGTAACCGTAATAATAAAGATATTTCATATACCGAGATATGCACAGCAGCTATAAACGCATGGTCTGAAACCCGTCGGGGCCGCCCACTCCTATCAGATACGCCAGTCGCCGCCAAGCAAATTACCGTTTGCTTGTTTCGCACTAAATTCAATTTCCAAAGTGACATTTCGCAGCGCGGAAATTTTGTAAAAGATGTAGAAATGGTGCCTATTGTAGCACTCTAAACCGCTGCTGTAAGTTATTCATTCTCTATCGTAACTCGGAGGCCCCACGGATTTCTTATACATTTGAAGCCCCATGTTCGTTTTCACCAAACCTAATGTGCATAAGTATTCATACCTCTGTTGTAGCCACTAGTACTGAATGGCTTACTCAGAGTGCTCAGAAATATCGCAAGATTCTGGTATTCATTCTGCGTACGTTTGTGTGTTGACAAAGCATATGAAGTCATGTGTTAAAAAGGAAGTTGAGTACTAACTTGCTGTATAAAGATTGGACACACGAAAGCGTTTATAGTGACTTCGTGTTTCTTGAGGAACGAGTATTTAGTCACAGTTCCTTTAACTATATGTATATAATTACGCAAACTTGAACCAGCGATAATTAGTTTGTTCACCCCCGAGACATAGTTGGTTAAACCGGTTTGCCTAGAGCATAAAAACGTCGAGGCTTCGAAGCGGATGTCGGCGACATTTAGGCGTGCGTTGCTTGAAAAACACGTTTACAGCGGTCCTACTTGCTCGAGATAACCCTTATTTGTCTAAAGCATGGTAAGTTAAGTCGTGGCATAACTACATACAACTCCTACATGTGGGTGTTCAGAGTGCCACTGATTGTGCTCATGGGACCAGAAGCCCAGAGTTAAACAAATTAAAGCAGCCCCATACCAGTGCATAGCCCACTATGGTTCAACTGATATCATGCATTCCTAGATCAAGCAATGTTCTCTAAAGTATACTAAAGATATTCAATCAACTTCAGCAACTATTTGCTCTCTCAAGTTAGGTACCCATTGGCAAGCATGCTGGAGAAAGTCTAGTGGAATACTTGATTGCCAACCTTCCGACCCATTTTCTGAATCCAGAACATTACAAAGGCCGTTTCCTCAAAAATGATGTACACACAAATGCAACAATACACTCGACAATTGGCATTAATCAGTGCTTATGCATAGAAAAAAAAAAAAAAAATATATATATATATATATATATAGCTAGGAATAGCTTACAGAACAACCCAGGTACCGAAAACATGCGTTATAACTAATTAACGACTATAATCACTAACAGGGATAGCGTGTTATGAGCTTTTCGAATATGTTTACGAGTATTAGATAATCCTGCGGGTGACATAAATTTACTAATAGCTTGGGTTGATGCTCTTTATTCGGCCAGTAGCTGTTATAGAAAATACGGAATAATATTGTAAGAGCTCAGTTTTCCGACTAAAAATGGTCCGCATAAAGAGGTTGCTTTTAGTAATTTAATTTGTTGCACATATAAGCGTAATAAAGAAATAGAAGAAAAGGCGGCAAAGCCTAGATTTATATAATCAGATATCGAAACGCTGTTAAGGTCGAAGAACGTTCACAGGCAGCATGATATTAGCATGGTCATCGATGTTAACTAGGCAGAATTAGAAAAGTCCGACCATGTCTGAACCATATATACATATACTCCAGATAGCTCATCCCGCAATGAACTCACGACGCACACTTGAAGTCAACTGAAAAATATTCTCTGCCGCGTGATGAGACAGGAAGATACAAACGTTTGATTACCATTGTATATGTGTGATGGCAAAAAAAAATCATCGCACCTGTCGCACCATCATAGCAGTGCCATATTTTTGCTTATATTAGCCATATTTGCGTCTGCTCGAAGCTTTACTTTCGAGGGCATCATAAAAGCCTGTTATGTTCATTCGTCTTCCATTTTTACTTCAATAGTGGCGTCGCACAGTCCCGTTGTTCTCTGCAGAAGGCCGCGACGACAATGAGAATGCAAATAATGGATGAAATTGGCCGTCCTGCAGCGGTCCAAAAAAGCAATGCCGGCCATAGTCATTTTGCGGTTGTTGCTCCTGGCATCGAGTCTGCCTTCATTCTATCCCCAGTGCTCTTCTTTGTTATAAGCCTTTCGCAATCATTTCGTAAAAGGTTCAATTTGCTTGACATCGCCAGCGACACAAAAATGATAGGAAATCATACGAGCGACTCAAGCGGCAAATACCGGCTGCATTTCCTCTAACACTTCGTATTATTAACTGCGAGTTTTTGTTGTTACGAGAACTAAACACGTTGATAGACAGGAGATGACTTAGCTCGGGGCAGGGGGAACATTTTTTGTTTATTTGACCCTTGATTATGACACAAACAGAAGTTTGCAAAGCAAGTGATTAATGCATTAGCTTTTTTACTTACAGTTATATTTTCTTCACAAGGTGATTGTCCTGAAAATGTACAACACCTGGTAGGCGGGCAAACTAAAAACACTTCGCTACAACTTGTGCTACGGAGCTAAGTTGTGATTCGTACATGATCTACTGGCTTTCTCTAGTGCCCGCATGGGTTCCTGCCTGTTCCCTGCAAAGGGAATAGCGCATATACGACAGTAACGGAAGGAGGCCACCAACATGTGACTTCTGTGGTGGAATCGCTCAGCTAAATGCCGGCGGTGGTTATTTGACCTAGGGAAGACCTTAAGTGGGCAACCGATTTGTTTGAGTCTCCCACTCTACGCAGTCATATATGAGTCTATAATAGTGTTTCTTTAGCCAAATCCTCGAGTTTAGTTGACCGCGACTTAATCCTTCTGCGTTCCCAGAGCAATTGTACCCAAACGAAACAACTAACACCTTGTATCTAAGTTACTCCGCATAGTAACACATTCGCTTTCAACATTCTCTACGATTCTATAGTATCAAAATGGCCGCCTGGAGCAGACGACAAAAACTCACTCGCCAGAGACTCCCCAGTAAATAAACGGTACGCGAGAACTTCGCTTTCGACGTAAATTTGCAGTTATGTTGGAAGCTTGTACATATGAACTTCGTTTTTGGGTCACTTAAAACTTATACGGCTGCTACTTTGAGATATTTTGTTCGACCCATAAAAGCCCCGTACTGATCGCTGGTTATTTCGCTAAAACAAATCGACAAAAATAAAGTATAGAACTTTAGGTTCCGACTAGATCAGGTCGAATATCGACGTTTTTTTTGTTACTATTTGATTTGAAAAGTGTTCCACTTCGTTTGAACCGTACCCATTTAATATGGATCCATACGAACTGCGTTTAAGATCACGCGGGCGCCTTTAAATTAACAATGACGAACGGTAACGTTTGATCGCTATTCGAAAACAACGACGCTACTTCATGGTAAGGCTTTAGAATAATACAGACGCTTACTTGTTAATTTTATTGTTTTTTTTTCACATTTGTTAATAATCTTCAATATAACTTCCAATTAAATTCCGGTCGGATCACATTCCGTCTTAGTTAGTGAGTGTGCAAGACTATTTATAAAAAATAATATCAAAAATAGTTAGACGAAGCAGGTTCTCTCCTCTGGCTACAACCGGCCGCATTTCCAACTAAGCTAATCTCCGTCGAACGCGAGGCATCGTCTTCTTATCGGCTCAATGGAATATCGCTTGGGTTCGTCTTTTTCTGACGCGATTTTTCCATGAAACTATCTATAAGCCTTCCAAAAAATTAACTCTGTCTGAGCGCTTTCACGCCCTTCAAGCTCTGTGAACCCGATAGTTCAGGGAATTTGTGAAGAAATGTCTCAGCCATTTCAAGAGTGTTAGGAGAAATAGTGTTTTCTTGTTCTATCTCGAATTTAGGTAAATACTATTTGTCTAAATACTATATTAATTGAAATTCAGTCGAGAACAACTCAGTTGGTTCATTTATCAATGAACAACGTAGGACGACACGGGGGGGGCACAATGGGTGATAAATTAAACGGCAGAATCGATGGTTTTCGATCTGTTTATTCTACTATCCTGCCCTTATGGTAATTTCGTTTAATGACTGAGAGACCATCTTACACACACGAGTAGAGCGAACATACGTGGAATCTTATGTGAAAAATGTATCACGCAATCATAATCACTTATGGACGTCAACTTGAAGATTTTGCAGACCAAAGAATTGCTTTTTGGATCAACGTGTGATCTAAATAGTGACAGAACTTGTCCAAAGCATACGTAACTTTTGCTTGGTAAAAAGATCATTTCTTTCTGTCCCTTATGATTCCGGTTCAATATTCAATTGCACTTTCATTTTCGGACTACGGCTATGGTCTGTCTGAATTTATATAAGTTCCGTATATGTAGATCGCTTGGACAGAGTAAACCAAGGAAATTTCTGCTATTTAAACAGTTTCACGACGTTTAATACTTGACCGGCCAAATGCATCTAATTACAAATTAATTACAACTAACAAGATCATCGGCGTTACCGGCCGATTTCTTTTTTGTGCATGAGCAGCTTTCCATGGCAGTTAGACTGAACTGCTACAACACCTCCCATAGGGGTAGGCAGCTACAAACATATAAAACGACAATTACCTCAGGAAACACCTTGTTTCAGCGTGTGGGGCATCCCCGATCATGGTCCCAACCATTGTTTATTGTACTGTAGTCCAGTAGAGTCCACTAGAGTAGATTACTAGGGACGCGATTACAAAGAGGTCACTGTTCGGTTAAGAAGAACGCCATACAATGCGATAGGCTTGCTGGGATACCTATTTGGCCTAGTAACCGAACAATGGAGAACAATCGTTAACGTTATCAGGTGACGCGTGCACCGGAGATGTATTGCGAAGCAATATGCTACTATTTTGTAGGACACCTGTTATTCGATGTGTTGGGCTAGGAACAAGGTGCCTCTATCTCGGTCACCATGATCGTACATAAAATGCATCGCAATTTATGCTAAGAACGAAACAAGGAACGCCGATCAATGGCGACTGTATATGGTAACTTCTTTACAAATGCAGCTGTTTAATGTGACATATCGGGTGAAACTGCTATAATCTTGTAATTTTTTTTAATATCTTCTTTTATGGTTGCTTTACACTATCGAGTGGCTCCAGCATGTTCATATATACACCTCGTTCGTACGCATTATACGTAAAATTATATATAATATATACCGCTTCGATCGGTGTGCCGAAATAAAGCACAGTAACGGTAAAAGGTCGCATCTTTCTCGCAGCTAGTTATAAGATAATAGCGACACAAGCAAACAAACCACATATTATATATATGTAGCTTCAGCACACCAGCGCCATCATAGTGACGCCAAAATATTGACTCTTTTCTTGCTTAACCGATATCTTCTTTCCGTACGAACGGAATGATATAAACAAATTACGCATCTGGATATGCTACTCATGCCTCTCTTTACGCCGCTGGTAGTTGTGCCGTGCTTCTCTGTACTGCGATCGACGCAAAGCTGTGAACGGTGCTCCAGTCGCTACATATATACACAGATATACTCTGTGTGTCCAAAAATAAGCTAGCGGTCTACGCATCTTTAACAAGTGGAGCGCCGTTACCTAAGTTTTCTTTTTGTATCTTTGCTAGCGTACTTTAGCGTGGAATACACAGCCGGACAGACCTATGTTGTTGTCCTTAAGCTATGCACCACAAAAGAAGCCTCTACCCATGGCATTTGCTCGCCGTTATTCATTTTATCCCCCTGTATCTCGTATAGCTACATTAGGCAATCGTCGTTGTTTGTAGCGCTGTGGTCGTTTTCAGGCCTTCTCTAGGGCGCGAGAGAAGAGAAAAGGCGCAGGAGCGCGCAACAAGGGGCTGCTGGACGAACGACGAACAGCATATGTTCCTCTGAAGCAATAATTTACTATGCCATGGCACAAATCGATGGGAAGTTGAACTGGATAGTAGGAGTTGTAGATGGGGGTTTGGGGCGAAAGGACAACGACTTCAGGGGGTAGTCGTTGCTATGCGCAGCTGAGAACAACTGGTCAAGAACAGGTCTACTCACATAGAAATAGCGAATGAGCCTGCACGCCGACAGCGTTGTCCTAGGAAGAAAAATCAGCAGAACGACAGGCAAACATCGAGCACGGCATAAATAGGTAATTCAAGAGATGGGAAAAAACCTAAACGAATTGACCGTTGCGACTATCATCCAATATCGTGTACATGCAAACAGAAATAGAGCCACTCAAACATAATGTTTGGATTAAGTGGAGGTTAGCATTATTTAGAAAAAATTGCGATTGCAACAAAATTTGTACAATAGACAGCGTCGTATACATGTACAATGTACACGTACGTACTGAGCAAGTATATCTAGACGATTTGGCTAGCTCCAGGCTGCGCTGCCAGTTCCCTGACTGGAATGGCAGCATGCTAGATTCCCAAGGACGACGGAAAAGCCGCAGGCCACTGCCGCTTAGTCCTGACAGGCATCCATGGTCATTATTCACAATGGCCGGTCAGAGCAACAGAGTTTAGTTACCTACCTGTATGCCTGTATGGCTGCAGGTTGTACGATGCGCAAGCCTACCGGTAAAGGCCTGAATACGTCACTGTGAGATGCCAGGCTTTTCTAAGCGCCAGAGCATGCCATTCACCAGCATATCCGTAACGTGTACTTGTGCGTCAAGGTCTATTCGACGAGCGCTGTCGTGGAAATGATTCGTAGAAACGGGAGTTTCTTGTCACGAATTTATTATTACTTACGGGACCGAAATAAATTTTGTTTGGATGTCGGCTGACGTATGTATCGGACAGGGAAAAACACATAAAGATGATCATGTAGACCTCCGAGCAATATGGTTCAAGTAATTATATTATTGCTTTAGTATGGGAGACTATATCAGGTGTTTGATGTGACACATCGGAGAAGGAAAATTATTGGCAATAGATCCACCATAAAACATTTTGTCACCTCACATTTTTCTTATTGTATTACTCATTTTTTTCCTTAAACCTCATATGTGCTTTACTATACCCAGAAATGCCCTAAACTTAAACTTCACTACCCATTTCCTTAAATCGGTTTCTTTCATTTAGAGACCAACGGGTATTTAAGCTGGGCTAATGATGAAAATTTTGACTCTACGCGATAATCATAGATTAATATCCCGTTTAATTAAAGCGTCTTATTTTGAATGTATCATACCTTATTGAAGTGTATCAACAATCATATCATACTGATCAAATCTCAGGTTTTTGCTTCACAAGAACCTATGTTTAATTAATATTATTTTAAGGTCCACTATATACAGACATCATGCACCAGCGTTGACAAGAAGTTGCTTATACATAATATGACATCGTATACTAGCAGCATCTTCGGAGCTCTGGACGTCGGAGCACGGATCCGAACCGCCTGTGGTGGGTGCTCCCCAGCGCGGCTAACCACTCGCCCTCGTCGCGGTTTGTCGCCGCAGGTGAGTAAGCAGGAAGCTACCCACGGTGGTCAACTGAGCCGGTCCGCAACTAATGACATTGATCCAATGTCTCGACAGGACCTGCTGGACAAGCAGCGAGAAGATGAGTCCTGGTAGACCTAAGTAGTATTTCGCTCTCCCTTTATCGCTTGGTAAAAGCAGCGGGAGGTTGTGTTCGTGACTGACAGTGCGACGAAAGCAGCTACGGCGATGGCGGTCATTGTTCCGATGCGTACAGATTCCTATAAAAATTCAGCGACTGGAGAAAACGTATAGAAACATCGTGTATCAACAGGGAGAAAACAGCTGTAGTTGCTGGTGAGCAGTCGATGGCCTTTCGGGGAAGAGGCACTCTCTGCCGTAAAAGCCTGAGAAGACCGTTTAGGAAGGTCTAGGGAATTCTTCCGGTTGATGAAGCTGGACGCGCTGAACTTTGCGTCGCTCCAGTGGGTTCAGGGACGTTTCCACCCAATGTTTCTCAGGCCTGTGGCCGTACCAAACGGAGCGAAGCACTGGCAGAACTCTGCTGCGTGATAACAATGCGGCTCGGTGGTTCGACAGGGGCCGGTGTCGCAGCCATGGTTACCGCCGACCACCACCAACAGCCTTCGAACA